ATGTCAGGAATCTCTCTAATACCACTTCTCTCCTGTTTAGTGAGGCACCCACTCCCAATGCCATTCCATGATTTCTGTGAAGATCAAACTTAGTCTTAGGAGGAAAGCAAAAAAATGTTTGAGTTGTTTATCTCAGTTTGTGGGCACATCTACACCCAAATAGGCCTTTGAGAAACAGGAAACTTCACAGCAGCATTAGCTGGTGCAGAAGGGTGGGACTGGCGGGGGAGGGGGGGTTGTCGATGAAGAAGATGAGGAATCAGAATTCTGTCTGGCTCCTTCAACAAACTCTCATGTGATTGTGGCTGGGGTGTGTTGTTTTGTGCCTCAGGTTTTCTGGTGCTAACACAGAACAGAATAACATTTCTGCTTGAAATGCCCTTCCAGATCCTCTTCTCCCTGGGAACTTCCATTTACCCTTAACATGCAGCTCAGGCTTCTCCTCTGTGAAGCCCTCCCTGGTTCCTCAGCTGTTTGTACTTACTGCTCTGTGCTTTCACTGTTGTTCTGCAGCCATAGCTCCATCTGGTAATTTACAACAGCCCCTTTCCATTACTGTTTATTCTTTTTATCCAGTAGTTATATTATGTGGTTACCAGGAGCGTGGACTGAATTAGCAAATATCAAACCACCACTTCTAGGGAAAATACACAATACAGTTCTCACCAGCCCCTGGGCACATTTTTGTCAGTCAATAAGCATATATGAAACATGTATATATATTATATATGTTCATACACACATAGGCTCATGCATTTTCCTATTCAAAACCATTCTTATTTAATATGTACATTTTTTATTTTTATTTTATTTTATTTTGTCTTTTTTTGAGACAGGGTCTCCTTGTAGCCCCAGCTGTCCTAGAACTCACTATGTAGACCAGGCTGGCCTCAAACTCACAAAGATCTGCCAGCTTCTTCCTCCCAAGTGCTGAGATTAAAGGCATGCCCCACCACGCCTGGCCTTAATATGTACATTTTTTTTGAGGCAGGGTCTCATGAGGCTGGCCTTGACCTTGCTATGTAGCTGAGGATGACCTTGAACTTGTGATCCCAGCCCCACTTCCCTGCTGGGATTACCACTACATCTGGTTGATGTGGTGCTGGGGATGGAACCTAGGGTTTCATGCATGGTAGGTGAGAACTCTACCAAGCTCCTGGTATACATTTTTTTTTTTTGTCTTTTTAAGACAGGGTCTCCTTGTAGCCCCAACTGGCCTGGAACTCACTATGTAGACCAGGCTGGCCTTGAGCTCACAGAGATCTGCCTGCCTCTACCTCCTGAGTGCTGGGGTTAAAGACATGTGCCACCACACCCAGCCTGGTATACATTTTAGATTAATATTGCACTCAATGGTAAACAGCACTATAACTTTTGCTTGAACAAGGTCTGATGCCTATAGCTTGTAAACTCCTTCCAGGAGAGGCTGGTATCTATGCCAGGTGTCTTTTCCTTGTTTACCTAGATCCATTCCCATCTTCCACTGCTCGCTGCCCCAAGCTGACCTCTCTGGACTGTTCTTCTGGGGTTCCCTTATCAGCCTGTCTTCTGGTTAGGGTGGACAAACATGAAGTCCCAGGAGTAGATGGGGGAAGTGGGGAGGGCTTCCTCTGTCCCTTGCTGAAGTTCTCTGCTCTCAAGACAACATTTGTCTGTGACTCCATGTTCTAGTGACCGCTTCCCCTCCTTATTCCTTTGGACCCAGTCTGTTAGAGGTTGTTACATCAAAATATCTTGGACTGGTATTTGTAAGCAACATAAAATTTATCTCTCATGGTGATAGAGGCTGGGAAGTCCAAGGTCAAGGCTCCAGAATATCAGGTGTCTTGTGATAGCTCACTCTCCATTCCTCTTCTTGCTGTACACTCACAGTATGGAACAGTGGGAGGGTATAAAGAAACCAATAGCGTCCTCCAAGTCCTTTTATAAAGGCCCTAATCTGTTCACCAGGGTAGAGCCCTCAAGACCTAATTACGTCTACCTCTGAAAGGCCCCATCTCTCAGTACTATCACATCAGGGATTAAGTTTAAACCTGAAGTTTGGAAGAACACAAACTTAAAAAATTACTGTGCATAATTATTTACTTATCTATTTATTTATTCATTTGTGTGTATGTGCACCATGACACGCATGTGGAGGTCAGAGGACAACTTGTAGAAGTCAGTTCTCTCCTTCCATGATGTGGGTTCAGGTCATCAGGGCCGGTAGAGCCTTTTCACTTGTTCCAGGGACGTTTTAAACTTTAAAAACATAGCAGTACTCTTTAACTGTTGTTTTTCTCTGGGCCACTTCCTAAGGTACTCCTAAACCCAAACTACCTTTCAAATAGTCTTTGTGTACATAAGCTCTCCTTCAGTTATCCTGGTTTGAATGTAATCTTTAGTCTCTGTCCTAGTTAGCTTTAACTGTCAACTTGACACAGAGTCATTTGAGAAGGGAATCTCACTTGAGGGATTTCCCAGATCAGATTGGCCTATGGGCATGATTGTTAACTGATGCGGGCAGGCCCAGCCCACTGTGGTGGCACCATTCCCTAGGCAGGTGGTCCTGGGCTGTAAAGAAGAACTAGCTAAGTAGGACCTGAGAACAAGTCAGCAAGTGGAGTTTCACCATGGTTCCTGCTCCTGGTTCCTGCCTTGAGTTCCTGCCTTAAGTTTCTGCCCTTATAGCTCTCAGTAACGACTATGATCTGAAAGTGTAAGCCAAATAAACCCTTTCTTCCCCTAAGTTGCCTTTGATCATAGTGCTTTGCCACAGCAAATGAAACTAGAACAGTCCCTAACTGGCAAGATGTCTTAATCGTCTTTCAGATCCTCTACCTAACACAGAACCATAGTAGGTGAATAGTAACTATGTGAGAAATAAATGATCTCTACACTGCTTCTAACAGTATCTGCACGATTCTGCCATCCTACAAGCCAACGGCACATTATTTCTTAGAAAAAATCATTTTCTGAATATTTTACTGTTCTTTGTCAATTTCATATATATGCATATATTTGTATATATATGGTGTTCTGATTACCATCAGCCCCACCCTATTTTATCTCCCTCCTCCCTTCTTCAAGTCTTTTCGTCCTGTTTTATGACCAACTGAGTTTAACCAGGATTATCTGTGTGACTACAGATTGGGAACTATCCGTTGGAGCCTAGTGGACTCACTAATGGGTCACAACTGAAAACAATGTCTGCCCCTCCTCCAGAATTCATCCCTTGCTCAGCAGGAAGGGAAGGGCTCTGTGGGCCCTTCTCTTGGGGGAGAATCTTGATATCATTGTTGACATTCTCAGACATACACCTGTATCCACACAGTGTTCCCATCAAGGTGGTTCTAGGAAACGGGCTTTGCTACATTAAATTTCCTGTGCTTCCCCTCAAGACCACTACAAATTAATATGTGTTCAACTTCAAAACACATGCTTACCATGCAAATACAGGCTCCTACTCTGACTGTCTCATAATATCACCTTCCTGAGTTTCTATAGCTAGGGAATTAATCTCTTTTTCTCTTCTCTCTCTCTCTCTCTCTCTCTCTCTCTCTCTCTCTCTCTCTCTTTCTTGCCTGGGAAGTATCTTCTCTATCTTTCTTAGAATGGTGGGCTTGTGTATTGATTCAGGGAGAACTGAATCTGCAGGAAGAATCCTCTGAGCAATAAATCTGTTCATCCAATCTCTTTTAGAACTTTCCCAGGTGGATTATCTCCCAGTGGTGGATCTAGCCCAGTGGAAGTCCTAGGAACAGCCCAGTGGAAGCTCCAGACTTTCTTCCCCATGCCTAATGGTCTTTAGAGCATGAACGGACTTGGGAACTTGTGAGCTGAGACATACCAAGTGCTCAACACACCCAAACCCTGACAACGTAGCTTGTAATCCAGTGGAATTTCAAGAGGGACAGCTACTTATTACTGCCCAACAATGACTGAGGCTCTCTGAATTACAGTCTCTGAATTGCAGCATGCTACCCACACAGCAAGCAGATGGCAGTGAACAAGTATGACCAATGAGTGGTACTGTGAGCAAGTTAAAAAAAAAAAAAACTCAGAAAACTCTGTTGAGTTGACTTCCACCAGTTTTGCTTTCCTCAAACCAACTCAGCCTACGGTTGTCAGAATGTATTTTAACTGCAGATTCGACCCTCTCTTCCTGTTCAATGACATTTTTACCTAGAGACTAAAATTTCACCTTTTTTGGACCTTCAAAGAGTAGCTAGATTTATAGCCTCAGTTTCAATTTAGACACTACTGGTCATTCTCACCATCCCATCACAGATATGTATGTATACATGTACACACACACACACACACACACACACACACACACACACACCCTCACCAACAACGAGCTAATAATAGCTTCCCAAAATATTCTATTCCCTCAACCTACAGGATCTTTCTATTATACCTGCCCACTTGAGTTCAGAAAAATGCCCTGCGATTTATCTCCAAAACAGAACTAGACATTTATATTTTTATGAGAATGTTTCTCAAACTTCATGTGCATAGGACTGTCTGGATCTTCTTAGAATGAAGATCCTTTTCAATAGGTAAGGGCGAAGCTTTAGAACCTGCATTGCTCATTAGCTGGTAATGTTGCTGCTGGCTCTGGGACTACATTTTGAGGAATAACATTCTAGGAAGGCCTTGCCCATCTCTCTCCTGACCCATCCCATCACTTTTCCCTCCTGGAGTTCTCTTTGACAGACAATACTTTCATTGTTACTTTAATTGTATTAAGCTTTTCATCTTAGTTTCTGTGAGCATCTGCACCCTGTGCTGAGTGTACAACACACAGGAAACACTTGATATTTGTGTTGAATGCATGTGGCACGTCATTGAACAATAGGTGTTTTTTACTTGTTTGTGAAAGATGAAACTGTATAACCATTTTAAGCAAAATGTTGAGGAGTCAGCCATTTGGAGCTCAAGCCACACACTGTAAAATACACAGCTTTATTCTTGCCATATGCAACTGATGACTTGTGAGCTCTATAAAGGGTAAGAGATATCTGCAGCATTTTTATTTTGAACATGAGCAGTGACTGTACACTAATAAATACTCATCTGATTAAAGTATAAATAGTCTCAAAAGTTACAAAATACAGGATCTACAAAATGCAGTCCCTTGTGTGAGAGGATTCTCTGTGAACACAGGGCACCGTTTGTAAAATTTAAGGGAGAAACCATTAGATGAGGATCCCATCTTCTCATGCAGGACTCTGGAGGTGAGCAGCGCACACATGTTCAGTCAAAGCCCCAAAGCATCTGAGCTTTAAAAAGATGATACCATAGGGGAATTGTCTAAACCACACCACAGAGATCAGTCGGTTCTGATGTTTTCCTTCTAGGTTGAATGTTCCAGGAACTGTCTCTTAATTAAGGGTTCCAATAAAGAATGGACAAAAGGCTGAAAAATAAACAGGGTGATTGTGGACAAGTTGAGCAAGACCATATTCCGAATGACAGAGTCTGATCTGGAGGGCCCCAGTTTCACGGTAATTACATTATGCATCTGAACCTCAAGCCAGACAAAATATCATATGATTTGGAAAAAAAGTGACCGCAATGCTGTCTGATCATTTCTCTAAGCTTTAATCCAAACACTACAGGAGAATCAAGTGTGTCTCATGTCAGGAAACATCCCTCCTAAGACGACTTCAGCTCCAAGTTAAAGCGCTAACTGAAGGACGCTTTTCCGCAACAGACTCTTAACAGCTGCTGTAAAGCTCATCTATGCAATGTGATTCTGGTAGGCTGAAAGGGTTAATTTACCGGGTAGCTTCAAAGTCAGGAACGATGATGAAGGTGAGGATGAAGGTGAAGAAAGAGGGTCGCTGAAGCCCGCAGTGGTCTGTGAGAAGCAGCAGAGCTCATTGGTGGTGCTAAGCCGTGTATGGGCTGACCTTCCTGTCTGCTGCGTTCCTCTCCTCAGCAGTCCCTTCCACTCTCAGTAGGAGGCAGTGTTGAGAATAAGAAGCTGCATTTGAGTTACCGTCCCTGTCTGTCACTCGGGCAGGTGCCCTGGCTTTTTAAAGACCTAGCTCTATTTTCTATAAAATATGAACAATAGTTCTAAATCATCAGGTTGGTGTGAACTCAGAGTGAGCTGAGAGTCTACAGGAGCTGATTACAGCTCAGTATGTATTCATGTCACCTGCATAAGTGCTCAATCAACAATAGACATCTTGCATAGTTTCAAAGCATCCTAGTCAGTGCTTGACTCAGTTTCCTTCCACATAGTTTGAGCAAGAGAAAACTCCTTTTTCTAGAGTTTTGAGAGCCTTGAAGCCTCAACCTTAAAGCTGCTGAACCCTTAGGGTCTAGGAGAGCCTCAATGTCTGAAGGCCACACTGACTAGCGCAGTGCTGCCCTCTCTCGGTGCTCGTGGGCTAGTGCAGAGAGGACGCTGCTTCTTAGAGGCTGGAAGATGAGCTTTCTGTAGGAGTCATTTCCTCACGGTTCTACAGAGAAGAGACACAGTCATCCCCGTGGACTGCTACAAAATGGGGGCACTGGTGCAGGAGCGCAGAGCCTTTTCTCCACCTGTTGATTTGATTCCCCACCATCAGATGGTCTCTCAGTCCTGACCAGACATCAACACAATGATCCAACCATTGGGTCTGAAAGGGTCATTCCAGTCTGTCCATCTCGATGGAGCTTGTCATGTGAGAGTGTGCTCTGAAACCTCACGGCATCCCACCATCGGCCACCGACCACCGGTCCCAGCAGCTGCTCCACCTCGTGTGCTGCTCCGTCTTGTGTGCAGGAGGAAGTGGCTGACGGCCTCAGTAGCACAACACTTGGGTTCAACAACTCTTGGCTTTCTCAGAAAAAAGAATCGGGCTTCTCACTCTCCTTTCCCCCCATAAACTCAGACATTATGTTGTTACATAAGATAAAGCCATAAACTTTGGGTCGATTCTGTAAATAATAAAGAAATAAGAACCTGAGGTCTGACGTCTGCCTCATCCTGTTGCTAAGAAGGGCAAGAAATGCTTTTGAAAGCTACCGATGGAGCTTTGTGCACTGAATGTGACAAGAGGCTGGGGTGCTAGGAGACACTGCTGCTGTTGTGGCTGGCCCTCAGCTCAGTGGCTGGCTCTCCAGCCTCTGCCAGGAAGCAGTCTTCCTGGCTGCGCAGGGTCAGGGCCACGGTCCAGGCACCTGTGGGGAGTCCTGGGCTGGTGGCAGGTTTTAATGCTCTGGAAGGAGGACAGTCCTCCTGTACTCGGTATCTGCAGCTATGGCTGGTCATCGAGTCCTTGCTAAAGTCCTGATTCTGCGATTTCAGCCAGCTGACTCAAGAGCTGGGAGAAGGGTGGCCGGTCTTCTGGTTTCTGAAAAGTAACAAAGAGATCTCTGAGTTCCTTATACCTGGGGTCCTAGGAAAGCAGACCTGAATTCAACAGCAGCATCCTCTGATAATTCTGAAATATGTTTCCACACAAGCCGTATTGGAGGAATGATGTCCTCATTGTCAATAACAGATGAGACCAGGTGATCTAGTTTTACATGTTTGACCTTTTTTGAGTGTGTTACTAGAGATCAAACTCAGGGTCTTAGATATGCAAAGCGAGCATTATACCCCTGAGCTATATTCCCAGGCTTAAATCTTAGCTTTACCATTCATTACTGGGCAGGTAACTAAATCTTTTTGAACCTCATTTGTAGAAAGAACATAATAAATTCTACATTATAATATTGTTTAGATAATTAAACAAATCATGCATAAAATGCATCCTAACATTAATAATAATTAACACCAAAAAAGAAATACCTAGGCACAAGGCTCACACAGTATGTATAGGATCTACATGAGGAAAATATAAAACTCTAGTAAAAGGGTGACATAGTGGAGTACTATTTCACATTCATAGATAGGAGTGTTCTGCATTAAGTTCTTCCCACCTTGATCTATGGATTCCATACATTGCAACCAAAAATCCCAGCAAGCTATTTTGTGGGTATTGACAAACGGATTCTGAAGTTCACACGGAGTGATAAAAACTCAGAGTGCCAACATGATAATGACAAGGGAAAGCGAAGTTAGGGGAACCGACACCCCCAGTGTCAGGACTTAAATGAAGCACAGTGTTCACGATTGTGGCATTGGTGAAAATATAAACAATGGATGAGTGGGACAGACTAGAGGGTCTGGAAACACCCACAGCACACCGACAGCAGAGACAATGAGAGAGTTGTCTTTGTGACAAACGGTGCTGGACGAGCTGGACAGCCGCAGATGAATCAGTGATTCCAGGAACAGATCTTATGCCTCTCACAGAAATTAGATACAGTGCATAACAGACCTAACTGTAAAATGTGAAAGTATGAAATTTCCAGGAGATAATATTGGAGAAGATCTAGGTGACTTACAGTTCTGCAATGAGTTGTTAGATGTAACAACAAAAATACAATTCATGAAAAAAATGATGTTGAATTGTGGTCAAATTTACAAATTTCTGTTCTGTAAAAGATACTATTAACAGAACTGATGAGATGACCCTGGCCAATGAGATGGCTCAGCAGGAAAGGGCTCTTATCACTAAGCCCTAGGACTTGAGTTCTATCCCAGTGACCCACATGAAAGAAGGGGAGAACCGACACCTCTAAGTTTTCCTGTGACCTCCCCAGGCATGCACTGGCACATGGAGAGAGAGAGAGAGAGAGAGAGAGAGAGAGAGAGAGAGAGAGAGAAGAGAGTAATTTAAAAGACACTATTAAAAGAAGAAAAAGATAAACTATAGGCCGGGATAAAATATTTCAAGACACATAATGATGAGGGACCCATAAAAGTCAACTATAAGAGCCAGAGGTGGTGACACATGCCTTTAAACCTAGCACTCAGGAGGCAGAGGCCTGTGAGTTTGAGGCCAGCCTGATCTACATAGCGAGTTCCAGGCCAGCCAGTGCTACATAGTGAGATCCTGTTTCAAAAAGCCAAACCAAAACAACAAAACCAATTATAAAAAACAAATAGCCCCATTGAAAAGTGGGCACAGGATCTGAGCAGGCATTTCATGAAGATTACATATGAAGGGATGTTCAGCCTCCCAAGTCATTAGGGAAATGTGAATTTAAACAACAGTGAAAACTAATGGCACTGCACCTCTTTAAGAAGGACTGATGCCTGACACAAGCACTAATATTCCTAAGAAGTACCAGGAACTGCCACTGCTGGTAAGCATGCAAACTGGGGCAGCCACTTTGGAAGACACCTGGAGCCTCACTATATGATCCAAGAATCACTCCTAGGCATTTATCCAACTGAGCTGAAAATTAATCTCCACACAGAGATTCACATAAATGGATCCATGCACATGTGAATGTTTGTAACAGATTTATCTCTAAATGTTGAAAATTGAAAGCTACCAAAGTTTCCTTTAGTAAGTAAAAGGATAAACAACTCATGGTATGTTCATATAATGGAATATTAGTCAACAATAAAAAAGAAATGTTATAAAAATCATGAAAAGGCACAGAACAACATTACATGCATATTACTAAAAAAAGGAGATGGACTTCACTCAGACCATTTTAATAGCTACATAGTACAAGTGAATGTTTAACATCATGTACTTTTTTTTTTGAGACAGGACCTCTGGTAGGTCTAGCTCACCTGGAACTTGCTATGTAATCAGGCTGGCTTTGAACTCACAGAGATCCTCCTGCCTCTGCCTCCTGAGTGTTGGAATTGAAGGCATGTGCCACCATGCCTGGCCTCTAATATCATGTACTTTTAATAGTTCTATGATGTTCTAGATTTTTTTTCTCTTTGGAGAGCTTGAGGAGGGTGTTGACATAGGATCCCAACTTTTCCTACTCTTAGAAACTGCTTACATATTATTTAGCAGATCAAATAATATTTAAGGTTCCTGTTAGCTCTGGGAGGGATAGGAAATCGATAGACACAAATGCTGAAGAAGTGCAGATAAAACAGAACTCACACATTGTCAGTGGGAATATAAACAAGTCATCGTGGAGAACAGCATAGAGGCTCTTAAGGAAAATGGAAACACACTACTACCATAGGATCCAGTCATCCCACTTATGGGGTATGTGTTCAAAGAAAGTGGTATTGTTATATTAAAGAGATACTTACATACCCGTGTTCACAGTAGCTGATGTGGTATCAGCCTAGATACCTACCAACAGATAAAGCAATGTAGTATTGTGTGCATGTGTGTGTGTGTTGTTGTGTGTGTGTGTGTGTATGTGTGTGTGTGTGTGTGTGTGTTGAAACACTGTTCAACCAAAAAGAAGAATGAAATCTTGTCACTTAGCAACAAAAATAAAACTGTAGGACATTGTGTTGAGTGACAGGTCAGAGAAAAAATCTTGAATTCTCTTTTATATGTGGAAGCTAGAAAAGTGAGTCTGTAAGTAGAAGAGGGATCACTAGAGGCTGGGAAAGGTATGAGGAAGGAGGAGTAAGGGGGATTGGATAGTAAGTACTAACACAAGGTCAGATAAGAGGATTAAGCTCCGGTGTTACAGCACAGTGGGGAGACTGTGGTCATGAGTAACTAGAACACAGAAGTTTAAAGGCTCCAACATGAAGTACTGATAAGAGGTAATGGTCCTGACTCGATGACCACACATTCTACACACAAATTCAAATATCACACGATACTTCATAGATATGTATTATCAAAATAATTCAAAAATTGATGGGCTGGAGAGATGGCTCAGTGGTTAAGAGCACTGCCTGATCTTGCAAAGGACCTGGGTTCGAATCCCAGTACCGACATGGTGGCTAACAGCCTTCCGTAACTCCAGTTCCAGGGAACCTGACGATGCCCTTTTCTGTCCTCCTCAGGCATTACATGACAAGGATACACTTACATACTTGCAGGCAATACACACATACACATAAAATAAAAATAATAAAATATTTTTTAAAATTTGAAAGACCCATGAAGTCCTGCCAATCTATTTTCATCACCCTTGTTCCTCATCCTCCTAAGAGCTGTCCTTTCCCTGGAGAAGGAGTTCAGCCCTGCAGAGGGAACCACTTCATCTACTGACCTCCTTCCAGCAGTGATTCATGATCTGGTAGACATGGGGAGAGGCCAGGCGGGGCTTGTATAACCGAAAGCCGGTGCTGATGTCTTCCACAACCTCTGAGTTGCTTCGGTTTTCATAGGGAATTTTGCCTTCACTGAAGACTTCCCACATTAGCACACCTAGATGCAAAGATGGGCAGAATACAGCTAAGGGCAAAGTGCAAAGGAACAAAGAACTTCCTAAAAGAAATCACGGAGTCCTTGCAGTTGGCATTCAGCCCCTCCTGCCAGACCTCAGGAAAAATAGTACCAAGTCCATCAGAGGTTTATCAAGTCTGTCCTTTAACTTGTTTTCATTGGTTGATGTATTTTTAAAGATTTATTCATTTATGTGTGTATGTGTGTGTGTGTGTGTGCATGTATGTGAATGTATGTCATGTGAGTGCAGTGCCTGTGGGTTCCAGAAGAGGGCATCAGATCCCCTGGAGCTAGAGTTACAGGAGGTTGTGAGCCACCCAATATGGGTGCTGGGAACCGAATTCAGATCCTCTGGAAGAGCAAGCACTCTTAACCAATGAGCCATCTCTCCAAACCAACTCTTCTTCTTTTTTTAAAGAGTCTCCCTGTTGCCCCAGCTGGCCTAGAACTCCCTACATAGACGAGGCTGGCCTGATCTCACAGAGATCTACCTGCCTCTGCCTCCCAAGTGCTGGAATTAAAGGTGTGTGCTATGATGCCTGACTGATCATTCTATTTTTAAAGAAGTAAAAAATTTCAGTTGTGCATGGTGTTTGTTTTGTTTTGAGACAGGGTCTCTCTGCAGCCCCAGCTGGCCTGGAACTTGCTATGTAGACCAGACTGACCTTCAGCACACAAAGATCTGCCTGCTTCTGCCTCCCAAGTGTTGGGACTAAAGCTGTGTGCCACCATACCCAACCCAGGGGATCATTTTGAGGGGGATAGATATGAATAATTATAGGTTCATAATTAATAAGTTCTGGGATCTTGGAAATGGGCATTCTAAAGTGTGAAGATTTTATAACAAGTCTTTTCCTGAGATATTTGATTAGCTAACATTCCTCTTGCTCATACTACTGATAAATGCTTAGCAGACTTTTCACACAGAATGGCAAGGTCAGTCTGAAAGCAGTTCCTATCTCAAGTACCATCTTTACAGTCATCCAAATGGAAAAGGTTATTCAACAGATTTTCATGTACACGCTTAGCATGCATGAGCAAACTCTGACTTAGGCTGACATCAGAACCCAGCAAGTAGAGCTATCCAGAGGAAACAGTTGGCCCATGGTACTGGATTGTTGGGGGAAGGGTGGGGTTAGGATGATACCCACCAAAAGACCACACATCGGACTTGCTGCTGTAACGACTGAAGGAGAATACTTCCGGGGATGCCCACTTCACTGGGAATTTGGTGCCTGTGGAACTGGTGTATTGGTCATCAAGGACGAACCTGAGAAGACACGAGGAAAAGGTTAGGGCATTTCAGGATGGAGAATCATTCCTGAGAGTCAGCTGGCACATCCCCACATCCCTGTGTTACCTTGTCATCCCAAAGTCGGACACCTTGATGACTTGGTTTTCTCCCACCAAACAGTTTCGGGCAGCCTGGAGAGGAGACAGACGAAAGAAAAAGGAAACCGTGGGTGGATAACCAGCAATGGACGGGTCTCCCGTTGCTAGTTTTTGCTTTTCTGTGCTGCTGTATAAAGGTTTTGTGAAGGCTTGGTGGTGCCACCAAAGCCCGCCAAGCTAGCTAGAAGGCTGAACATGCAAGCCCCTTTCTAAGGATGAGGAGGTTCATCTTCAATCCTGATCCTAAGAGAAATCCATGGTCTTGTCTAACCAATAACTTTCTGGAATGCAACCTGATGAGGAGGGCAGTGCTGTGACTAGGGCTGACTGCAGAAAGTGTCTCCCATGTGATTAGCATAAGAATATTTTGAGGTTGTTAATCCTTTTAAAATTACCCTCAATAGGGAGAAGTACCTGGCCCCTCTTAGTATCCAGAAGTTGGCCTTGGAAGAGCCCTGGGGGACATGAGACTCCAGCAGGTCTCACACTTGAAAGTCCATCCACTTTCACTTTGGGAATCCCATAAATATTCATGATTCCCCCATTACCAGAGGTTCCAGGGTTTTCAGATTATCTAGTGTAAATCTGGTAGAAAAACTGCTTCAGCCTAAGTGCCCATCAATGGGAGGATGGGTAAAGAAAACGGGGACGCAATGGAGCTTTCTTCAGTCATAAAGAAGAGATTATGTCATTTTCTGGGAGATTTGTTTGCTAGAAAATGGTGGAACGGAAGATCATCACGTTAAGCAAAATAGCTACTTTCAAAGACAAATAGCCCATCTTTTCTCATATGTGGAATCTAGACTTAAAAAACCATGAAAACGGGAGGGGTACTATTTGGGAAGAGGAAGAAGGTCAGTGGGGATAACAGCAAGATGGTGTGGCAGTTGCTGAATGTACTCAAAGCACATGATACACATGTATGAAAAAGTCATAGGGAGGCCCATTTCTGTGTACAATTAAATCATTTTTTAAAAGTCAATCTGTCTTTGTCCATTTCCTTCATTTTATCAGGAGGGAACGAAGGCAGTGAGATGGCTGTAAGCTCCACTTTGGAAGAAGGTGCAGTGTAAGTTAGAGGTAGGGCTGGGACCAGAGTTGGGTTCTCAACCCCCATGAAACACCTCCCCACCAGAAGCCTCCTGAACTGGGTGGAGAAGTGAGAAAGGAAGGTGGTCTGGGGCTTGTCGTTTAGTACTGTTTGCCCAGTCTTGGTAGCGTTAAATTTCAGGGGGATGGGCCCCTTTGTCCTGTGCTGTTGGTGTTAGCCCCATGGACTTCCTCTTACCAGGTCTCTGTGGATGACACATGCTTTCTCCAGGTAGGCCATGCCCTCACACACATCTAGGCACATGCCCAGCAAAGTCTCTGCAGCGAAGAGCCCCCGCTGGCTGCGCAGATAATCTGACAGGCAGCCGTGCTCCATGAATTCAAACACCAGGCAGATGGGGGCTTGCTCCAGGCACACTCCGTAGAGCTGGACAAGTTTGGGGTGAGAGAGTTTCCTAGAGGGAAAAGACAAGAGATAAAATGACCTAAACTCAGTCCTCCAAAAGAGTTGAACATATTATGGCACCGAAGTAGCTGAAAGTCACTTCATTCAGCTCGTGGTTCTGAAACAGAACCAACCCCCAAATCCAAACAAAAAAGTGTCACTGGACCCTTACTGGAGTATCTAGCCACTCTTCCCAGCCGACTGTATGTAATTTGACCCTAATCACACATGGCCTACTGGATTTGGGGAGGGCTAAAGTATACAGTCTGTGGAAGGCTAGAAAGAGAAGGCATGACCCATGCTGGGTAAAGGCTTTCCAGTGTGCATACCCTCAGGTCATACATACACCTCAGCAACCCCTCAGTTATCTCAGTAAGTAAGCTTAATAAATTCATTGGATCCCCAGTAAAACTTTAATGAAATATTGGCTTGACATTAGAACCTTAAAAGGGAATAAGCATTGCTTAGCATCCCCAGGAAAAGAAGTCTCACAACAGATGGAAAATTTATTTGTTAATGCTATTATGTCTCATAATTATTTTTAAAAATGAGAATGTAAAACATGTTAAAAGGATATGGGAATGGAGATATTTTCAAAAATAGAAAAAAATGAGAAAGCCTAAGCAAGTGATGAAGGCCTGTTTAGGTTTGTTATGATATACAAAGGGTGAGACAAAAATAATATACACATAATCTTAAAATGTCTATGGTCATAGTTTAGTCAACTAGTTTAAGGAACAAAATATAAATCTAGCCAATGTTTATCTGAGGATATTTGGTTCTTTACCTAAGCCCTATCTACATAGCACATGATAATTAAAAGAAAACTGGTG